CCTTTGATATACAGAAGCTTTTTAGTTTAATGAGGTCCCATTTGTTAATTGTTGCCCTTATTTCCTGAGCAGTTGATGTCTGGTTTATAAAATCCTTTCCTATACCTATATCTTGTAGGTTTTCCCCCAATGTTTTTCTTCTAACAGTTTTATTCTGTGGGTTTTCTGCTAGCTTCCCTGGTTGCCTCCTTTGATATACAGAAGCTTTTTAGTTTAATGAGGTCCCATTTGTTAATTGTTGCCCTTATTTCCTGAGCAGTTGATGTCTGGTTTATAAAATCCTTTCCTATACCTATATCTTGTAGGTTTTCCCCCAATGTTTTTCTTCTAACAGTTTCAGAGTTTCAGGCTTTACATTGAAGTCTTTGAACCATTTGGAATTGACTTTTGTGCAGGCTGAAAGATAGGGATTTAGTTTCATTCTTCTATAGGTGGAGATCGAATTTTGCCAGCACCATTTGCTGAACATGCTGTCTTTCCTTCAGTGAATATTCTTGGACCCTTTGTCAAATATCAGGTGGCTGAAATTGCATTTACTCACATTCAGGTCTTCAATTTTGTTCCATTGATGTATGGGTCTATTTTTGTGCCAGTAGCATTGTTGTTTATATGACTATAGCTCTGTAATTCTGTGTAAAATCTGATATAGTAATCCCCCCAGCATTGCTCTTAGTGCTCAGGGTTGCTTTGGCTATCCAAGGTCTTTTGTAATCACAACCCAGCTCAGGAAATGGAACATGAGGACCCCATTCTCTTCCCTAATTATTGCCCTTCCCTTCTCAAAGGAACCATGCATGTGAAAGCCAGAAGGCAGCCTCTGCTACCCTTAGTCAGGAGCCATCACTTTTGTGGTTTTTGAGATAGGGTCTCTTTGGCCTGGAGCTTCTCAAATATACTGGGCTAGTAAGCCCCAGGGATCTGCTTGGGCCTGCCTCCACAGTGCTGGGATTATAACCATGTGTCACCATGCCTGGATGTTTTTCACATGGGCTGTCAGATTGAACCAACAGCCTCCACAATTGAAAATTTGTTTTGGCAGGGGGTAGGGGGCAGTACTGAGGATTGAACCCGGCATGTTATGCATACAAGGCAAGCATTCTACTTCTGAGCTACAACCCCAGCTATTTTTGTATTGAGTTTTCCAGCCCAAAGCCATGGTATATTCCTTTATTTCTCTTGGCTGTGTTTAATAGACTATCACATCTATTTTGTTATTTCTTAGAATTTGATGTTTTTGGAAGCTACTATTAATGGAATCATTTAAAAAGTTACATTCTCTGTGCTGATAGAATCACAATCAATTTGTTGTCGTTTTGAGATAGGGTCTCATTATGTAGCCTGGCTCACCTGGAACTTGCTTTGTAGGTCAGGCTGGCCTCAAACTCACAGATACCTGCTTCTGCCTCCTGAGTACTGGCATTAAAGGCATGTGCCACCACGCCCAACTCACAGTTAAGTTTTATCTCTATCAATAACTTTGCTAAGCTTATTAATTTAAGTAATTTATCAGTGTGCTTTTGGATTTTTTTTTTGGTCTTTTTGAGACAGGGTCTCCCTGTAGCCCCAGCTGGCCTGGAACTCACTATGATGTAGACCAGGCTGGCCTTGAATTCACAGAGATCCACCTGCCTCTGCCTCCCAAGTGCTGGGACTACAGGCGTGCACCACAATGCCTAGCCATTTCTATCTTTTTTAATAAATTAAGTAGTATTGGATGTAGATCCTCTTAAAATGTCTAGTAGAATTCTGCTGTAAATCATCTGGTCGTGGGCTTTTTTATTACTCGGGATATTTTGTATTACTGTTTCAATTTCTTTGTTAATCTCTTCTCAGTTTAGTTTTGGTGGTTGCCATGCCTTTAGTTATCCATCCATTTCTTTTAGGTTTTCAAACTTAGTAGCATATAGGTTTTAAAAGTATTCCCTTATAATGTTCTGTATCTTTCTGGTGTCTGTTGTGATGTTTCCCCTTTCATCTCTGATTTTGTAATTTGGAGGTGCTCTTTCCTTCTTTTGGTTAATTGGGCTAGCGGTCGGTCAATTTTGTTTATCTTTTCAAAGAACCAGCTCTTGGTATTGTTGATTCTTTGTATTGTTTTCTTTGATTCAATTTCATTGATTTCTGCCCTGATTTTTGTTATTTCTTCTTGTCTGCAGGGTTTGGGTTTTGTTTGCTGTTGCTTTTCAAGTGTGTTGAGTTGCACTGTTAAGTCATTTATTTGTGTTCTTTCCGATTTTTTGATGTAGGCACTTAGAGCTATAAATTTCCCTCTAAGAACCACTTTCAGCATGTCCCAGAGGTTTTGTTGTGTTGTATTGTCCTTTTCATTTAATTCCAGGAATACTTTTATTTCTTTCTTAATTTCTCTTTTGACCCATTCATCATTCAGGAGTGTGTTGTTTAATCTCCATGTGTTC